TTGAGGCATCTAAAGATGCCAACAGGTACCTAGACAATTTTGAAAATCCCACTAGGCACCTGCCTCCACCTTTAGAGCTCTCTTAACAGCTCTTTTGTGACCCAAGTCTATGTAAGGCTACTGCCCACAGCAAACAAGACCCAACATAATTAGCACCCTTACTGGCTGGCTATGCTGGGAGACCACAGACTGAATTATCACAGAAGATGAGCTCCCCTTCCACTGTTAGAGGTCACCCATCTAGGTAAGGGTTGGGTACACAAGCAGAGATGATGGGGCCGCTCTACAGATAAATAGGACTTGTGCCCTTGTGATGGCAGGCTGGCACGCATAGTAAAGTCACTTAACACAGAAAATTCGCTTAACACAGAGAGGATCATGAATGTAGATATGGTTCCTATAGCTGGAAAGCCTTTTTCAGTGATGTGTTAAATCTAAAATCCTCTGCATAAGAGACAGGTCTGTAAATGGTGTCATTTGGAGCAACACATATTAGCAAGACTGCTTTACACTTCCACAAACCAAGAAACTCAGAGCAAAGCCTCTGTTCTTACACCCACCCTGACTGTTCCCAATGATGCTTGACCCCACTAAGACCTGTGGGGAGAACAAACCCAGGTAGCTCCGGGGCAGCTAAGGAAGGAATACCTGCTCATTGTAACTTTCATAGGACTTGGTACCGAGGATTCTCTGATGTTTGGCCTTTCATTTCTTTTGTTAAAATGTAACTGTGACCGAATGCAACCGTGTATTCACACCCTATTGTAATAAGCTTTGTATAATATATGCCTTGTGAGGTACCATTTGAAAACTAACTCCGCCCTTGTCAGTAATAGCCTGGTGAAATGTATGCAGCAACATTATATGTAAAGTTATGAACATAAGCTGAAATCATGATTGAAGTGTGTTTACCAGACAAACCTGGGGAATGGATAAACTTGTTTCCCAAACACAAAGGACAAGTTGACACCGCTAGCCAGCTGTCATCAAAGCTCATGGGGCATCACTTATCAAGTGGCCATTCTTTGGCAAGGAAGAGGGGAAGGAACAAACAGATCTGCATCTTAGCACACAGCAGCATGAAACCTCCCCACCACCAGACTCCATAGCTCTCCATTGGAAAGAACATTATCTAGGTGTCACTTCCAGGAAAACGCTTTTCAAAGGAGGACTGAACTATAAACGTGAGGGGCAAAAACACCCCATGTTATCTCTCCCTATCTGATGCAAGAGATTTTTCCGCTGCTCTATTTTGTGTGGAAATACAGCACCAGAAACGCTGTCCGGCATTAAAAGCACACTTCAGCACTAAAAGTGCTGACCTGTCACAATTAGCTGAAGTTGGAAGCGACTGAGATTTGGTCTTGTTTGAATTAGTAAAATTGGAGCGGTGACAGTGAAACATAATGTTAAAGTGCATATAAGTGTATAATTTGTTTGATAATTATAAGAATTTAAATGATTAATAAAGATGGTTTTAAGCAGTTAGAGCTAGGGAAAACAAAATGGCGTTGTAAGTAGTCAGTCAGAGAAATCCAAAATGGAGGTCTGGGAGAGATTCCCAATAGCAAACAGGCAGGCTGAGGTGATACAAAGATCACTCCAAAACCTGAGAGGAGGGGTTAGGCAGAACACAGGTCTTCAAATAGGTCCAGCTTTGATTGACCGATAGCAGGCTTGAAGCTGATTGGCTGATAATGATAGGGATTAAAGAAACAACCAATCAGAACAGATCATATATATGTATATAAGGCAGGGAGCTGAGGTGATAGGCTTTAGCTTGTCTTATGAGGGAAAAGGTACTGGTGTGTGTATGGGAAGAAGGTATTGGAGAAAATAGAAACAGGAAAGAAGGAAGACCACTAAAAGAGCTAAATTGCTAAGAAAAAGCAAGCAAAAAAAGCAGCTGCAATTAATATTAATGCTATTGCAGAAGGACCAGTTGAAGGGAAGAAACCTTGAAGAAGTAAGCATAAGGACACACTCTATGTAATGTATACATTTGTATGTATGAGCTAATAAAGCTGGATGATTTTGTGTGTGTTATATGTATAGTTTTAATGTTTAAGAACTTGCAGTCAGCATCCTATATGTGACTGGCTATTGCAAATAGAATGTAACCATTTAGAGCTGTTTTCCATTTGCAGGATATTGCAATTTTGGGTACTTTAATATGCATCTGTGCTAACAGAATTTTGTCTTTAAGAAAAGGGGTGATTTATTTCTTTGAGATACATATTTTAGATGTGTGTTGTTGTATTAGAAAATAGTATTAAAATAAAGATTGTTTTGTTTTTGAAGAATTACTGCTTAAGTGTCAGTCCTTTGAGCAGAAGGCTGTATCTGTGTCCTCCCAAAGGTTAACAGTCTGTTCTGGGGAGTTCTCCACAGGTTGGGTGATAACCCCCCACTAAAACCCTGGCAATTCCTCTAGGGTGGACTATCTCCTGTTACCTGCTAAACCAGATAAAACGGACTATCTATTTACTGATACTGGCAGGCCATTATAGCTGTGCTTTAGGTCTGATTTTGGGGTAACATCCATCTCTTTCATCACCTAAAACAAAAGAAACAGCCAATGGATTTTTGGGAGCAGATCCTGGCCTGAGTTTGGTGAGAGTGCACTGAAAGTATATGGGAAGGGATTTAACAAACAAGTTGGTTCAAGGTGAAGTTTAGAAAATCTTTTTTTTCCCTTGTAGCCATTTCTAACTTTAATACCTCATTACTTGTACTCACTTAATCTCTTTTAAGTAAACTTGTTTTATCCTTTAATTAAACTAACCCAAACAATTCACAACACTGGATAACTTCGCTGAAGGTAGCAGACTGTTGTATGTTGATCACCTTAAAGGGGCAACAGATGTAATATATTTGAACTGTCCAAGAGAGGGCTGGACAGTGCAGAACACATGTTTTGAGGGGGAAAATCCAGGACTGGGAGTGTGTTGGGACCACCCTACAAGTAGTGACCAAGGCTGGTGGAAGCCAGTGTGGCTGGGGTGTTGCTGGCAGGCTGCTGGGGTCAGAGCTGCATGCTGGTTGTTAAGAGCCCAGGTGGAAAGCTGCAGCAGCAAAGTGGAGTGAGGCACCCCAAGTTACTGGTCAAGTGGTGACACGGCTCCTCACTGTATTACACTCCACAGTAACCAAGGGGGAAGTGGGGGGGAGAAGACACACGCTACCTCTTTGCCAGGGTCACTGACAGAATACACAGCTTGCTTCAGAAACTACTGCCCCCTGAATTAGTGTTTCATGTGGAAGGAAGGAGCTTAGGGCGCTGTGCAACCCTATTAGGCTAATCCAGTGTTACCAAAGAGGAGGTATGAAAAATAAGGTGCTCATAGCAAATCAACAAACCTGAACTCTGATATTTTAACTGAGAACAAAATATACTTATGAAAAGATCACAGCTTATGCTCTGCATGAGTGAGTGGCTGCTTAAAAATGGGTATGTTTGCAAAGAGACTGTGGCCCTCAATACTGATCCTATTTAGTGGTGTGAGTCAGTAAATCCAGTGATGTCAACAGAAGTGCAGAGGCACAAAAAACAGACATCAGTCAGGCCTTTCCACTTGATATCAAGAATCATTTGTAGTACTGCCACAGTGGATCACATAAATCTTTTAGAGGATTAAAATTAACCTGTTTCTGAGCTGACATCTTTCATAGAATCATAGGACTGGAAGGGACCTTGAGAGGTCGTCTAGTCCAGTCCCCTACACTCATGGCAAGACTAAGTATTCATGTTGAGTTTTATCTTGGGAAATTTTCAAAGATATTCTTAAGAATTTTTAACGAAGACAAGCCTCAAACTCTCCCCTAAGAATGAGGGCTAAGGAACTGGAAGCATCAGGGTCAGGAAGGGGAAGGAAAGTTAAAGCAGGGTCTGGCACTGTTGCAGCAGCATTAAGCTGCTGGCCAATCCAGGAGTAGCAGTAACTAATTTGGGGGAGAGGAAGGAAAGGGAAAGAGAATTAGAGTTCAGGGCATCCCTAAGGAGCAAACTACATCTAGGAAAAAACTTCTGCATTTAAAAAGCCCAGAGAGCAAAACTGGGACTATCCAGAGGCCCGAGGTTTGGCTGATGTTTATGGCTCCACTCCCAAAGGGCAATTGAACAGCGCTACATAAGAGAATAAAGTAAATGGGTGACCTATCACAGCAGCCAGCAATGCAGGGCAGGCTTGAGCTACTGACCCTAGTTCCCAGGAAGCAGCACCAAGTTGGGGGGGGGGGAGGGGGGGGGAGGGGGCGGGCGGCACGCACAGTAGGAGAGGTTTCATTACTCTTATGGAGGATACAAGGGTCCATTTTGGTGCCCACATGGACTCTATTGGGGCTTCAGAACCTAGGGCTGCTGCAAAATGCAGCTTCCTTGCCTCTGGTAGTTTATAAATCCCAGGTTCATTCCTTGGCATCTTTGGAGCAAGACTACTTGTGCTCCCCCTTAAGAAGCAGGAGGGGGCTGTTGGCAAACAGAGAATGCATTTAAGTTACAATGAGAAGATTTTAATTCCACCTTTGGCAGGGCACCAAGTTGCTATGGCTGCCCAGGTTTTCCTATGAGCTAAACTACCACCCCTTATGTTGCTGGGGAGCCATGAAACAGAGATGAGGATGCAAGAGACAAAGTTTCTGATCCAGCACAAGGCCAGTAAGAGCACAGGTGCTATATCAAGACAACACTATGTGCACTCTCAATCCCCAGACAAAAAAGGTAGTTAGCAGGCCAGGGCATCAAAGCACATTTGGAAGAGACATTAACCCTTCATTATCAATTTCACCCTGGGCCGAGGGTCAGTACAGAGGCCAGGCTCCACTTACATTCTACTTAAAGGTTTGTGTAGGACATAACTGATGCATGGGTCGATGATGCTCCCCCAGTGTGTAACAGGGATAAGCTTCTCAAGCACTGAGGGGATTTGAAAGGGAAAGGGCTTTGGTCAAGCAGAGCCCCACAAACATGGGGGCAAGGGTGACAAGGATGATCTATCCAATCCTGTTCCCATTACAGTTTAATGCACAGGAGCAACAGTAGTGTGTAAACATGGACCTGGCCAGATTTAGATCGTTACCCTTCTAGTAACAATAGACTGACCAACTGGTATTAAGACAAGGGACCTTTGCCATCAGGCCCTACAATGCACTGGGAATTCCCCCCCACCCCCCACCCCCACACACACACTTTAGGACAAGTTAGACTAGAAGATCCCAATCCTCCCCTCGTTAGACTAGAAGATCCCAATCCTCCCCTCCAACCCTGATGACTGTAGATTTTGCCACTCCCATTTCACTCCTGGCTCCAATTCTCCTTCTCAAAGACAAGCTCCACAGCTTCATTCACATCCTGCACCACATAAGATGCCTCCACTAGGCTGGTGTCAAAGCGGAAGTCCCGGTGCCCGTGGAACACAGTCTCTACCACGCTCTCGTGTGGGTCAGCAGGCACATCTCCATGAGGACTGTAGACCCCAGTGCAGACCAGAATTGACTTGCAACTCTCCAACGAGACGTACCAATCCTTCCTCAGCTCTGAATGGTCCTCACTCCGGGGATCTGCCACCACCACACTCCTCTTCACCTCGGCCTGGGCCTGACACGAAGCCTTGAGGTAGCGGTTGTAGAAGTTCGCACCATAGATGTCAGACATTGGATTATCCCTGTGCATGGCCATCAGATGAGGGAAATCAATTACTTCACAAGTTTGATTTGAACATAGGCAGGCCGGGATTGGTCCAGCATAAAGGTGGGTAGGGGAAGGCAAGGAATGAGCTAGAGTCAGGTACTTACATAGAATTGGGCAGGTCAGATCAGTGGCCTGTCTAATCCAGCATACCAACTCTAGTAGTGGCCAATGTCAGATTATTGAGAGGAACATGGTAACAGCCCCGTGTCCAGCCATTTGCACAATGCTGGTTACGAGGAAGATATTCCTTCTTGTTCCCCCCTCTGCCCCCAAAGAATGTTTGATGGACCTTGTCTGAAGTGGCTGTAAAATGTAATTACTGGCTGGTTGATGCTAGTACACTGATGTGAAATTCCAGAGCTATGCTATGTATCTCAGTCACATCCTGCAGCAGTGACTCAAGCAGGCTGACTATTCCAGTCAATTTCATGGAAATGCAGGGAGTCGTGGTTTAGTGACCTTTTGTCCTAATGCAGTTCAGATCAGCATTTAGAATAGGAAGCTCCAGAAATGCCTCAGGAGTTTAAATAAAAAAATAAAAAATAAAAAAAACCAACAACAACTCCTCATAAAACTCTGCTACAAAACCAGGGCTGAAGACCCCTAAGGAAACACACAGGAAGTAGTCTCTTACCCAACAGCATAGAGCCTGCAGATGGGAGATGGCCACCCTCGTCTTTCCACCTGCTGTTCGATCAGATACTCAGCATATTGGTAAGTGACAATGCTGGGTTTGCCGATCAGGGCCTCATACTTCAGCTCCCTGCCAGTCACTTTTTTGTAGATGTTCTCCAAGCAGACAAGAAAGGTGCCATGGCCAAATCTGCCCCAGAAAAAGTATCATCAGTGCCCCCTGGCCCTTTGGCATTTGCACAGAAGCCATTATCCATCTTACGGCTATGATCATCTCCCAAGAGAGATGACACTCTACCCTGATCCACACCTACATGCGAACAACTTGAAGACAGAACAGAAGTCCCCACCCTGCCATCCCTTCTTTTGAATTTACTTGGATATTAAATATGCAGAGAGCCTACCCACCCCCCAATACAGAAGCCTCTCCAAAAAGTGTGCATCACATGTCGATTCTCACATTTATCTCATGTATTCCTCAGTAAGATAGTCTCAAACAAGAACTACTAGACATTGGAATTAAAAAAAAAAAAAAATCTACCTTCAGACATATGAATGGCTTAGAAACACCAGCAGCTGCAGACATGGGCCAAGTTCTGTCTTTTTTATTTAAAACTCAGACTTTTTCTGTTTTTAATTTTCCACTTGGGATGAGAGGTCTGGTGCTTGGGCTTGACCCAAGAGTGGTGAATCTTTTGGAAAGGTGTGAACTGAATTCAACCAGATGGCTCAGTTTATGCAAAAGGGAAAGAAGAGAAGAGGCTTTTTGCACTTAAATAAAAAGTGCACATTTTTCTGTTGCCTCAACGACCCAAAAAGGGTTGAACTTCAGAACTGTGAAGTCACCTAATCATAGTCCTTGATGCAGAAAGCCATCCTTTCTAAATATGAAGGTGTTGGGTTTAGCAGTACCGAAGCATCTACTCAGACTTAGGCATCTAAATAAAAAAAGGCCCAATTTTGAAAATATTGGCCCGAGTTCCCAACGCAACTTTGAGGTCTCTCCAAATAGTGCCACCCTTTCAAACAACACTAGAGAAACAAATATATACTGTAACCCCACTAAAAGGTCTCCTAGCCACATTACAGAGATGATGTGGGTTAGGTCTCAAGCAGAGCTCATCAACAAGGTAGCTGAATAAACTAGGCTAAAAGTGACCTTAACAAATATGTTTTTCACCTTGGCATCTTGGCTTCTGCCATCCACAAAAGATCCATGTTACAGGCAAGGACAGGTATATGGGGATATGGCACTGCTGCCAGCTCCACCCCAGGGTTCCCGTTGCTCAGGAGGACATCAATAATCAGCTGCAGGCTTGTCTCCCACTGGACTGGCTCCCCAAACAGAATCACGCCTGAAACATTTAAGAGATACAGTACATGGAAGCTCAGAACGGCCACCCATTCAACAAATAAAATAAAAATAACTCAGTCCACTACAATATACTTCTTCTGGAAGGGGACAAATAAATACTGTGTACTACGGCATCTGAATCAGTCATTCCGTCAGATGTCCCGTCACTAAATGGCTATCCAGCTGGCTTGGCTGAATAGCAAGCAGGATAACAGCATAAATATGGACAAAGCATAGCACTTACCTTCTATGGTAGGGAAGTCAGTGGTCAGAGGAGGCTGCAGAAAAAAAACAAGCAAGGCTGGGTTAATAATACAAAACTAAACAGATTTGGTATTGACATAATGTGATAGTAAAGATGAGAGCCAAGAATTTCAAGAGGGACTAGTCATTTTGGAAGCCCACGTTTAGAAGTCTTCAAGGGATCTGATTTTTCAGACAGGTGCTCAATACTTGCGGAAAATCAGGCCCTTTTAAGAAGTCTTAAATCAGACGGACGGACAGACGCGCGCACACACACACAAAATCACTAATCATTCTTGAAAAATCTTGGTTGTAAACACTAGGATACTGGGGGGTGGAAGGGAGTGTGTCAAAGCTACTGCAGCTCTAGCCTCTTCCAGCAGAGGCCATTGCAGAGAGCTATGTAAGAGTGCAGACCTCCAGGGAGCTCAGTAACAATCCCAACCTCCAACAGGAGTCACTCTAATGAATGGTGTAAAGAGGGCTAGTTATAGATGACCTCAGAGCTATTCTATCAAAGGCCATAACATACAAATGCTATAATCCCAGGTCACCAAGTCTCACAGACAGGTTGATATTTACCAGCTCCTTTGGTCTACGGCTTTGATCAACCATGTCCAGCAGGGGAAATGCCTTCCTCACATCCTGTATGGTAACCACATTCCGGAACCCCACACTATTTCAGACAGTCAAGGAAGGAAATAGAGCCTGCTCTTTACAGATTATGGGCTGATTTACAAAAGCACCTAAGGGATTTAGGAGCACAAGTCTCAGTGACTTTCAATAGGACTTCTGCTCCTAAGTCATGTAGATGATTTCAAACAGCTCACCCCAAGTTGGAAATCCCATTACCCTATAAAAACTGGGTCATTTCCTACCCCTACTTCTTCTGGAAGTTCAATATTGACTCAGGGCATTACTGGAAGACCATCCCATAGCACCAGAGATGACAATGCAGATCAAATCCATTCACGGCAACTTCGGAAGTCTCAAGTCTCTAGAGCACAGCAGGACAGCGACTCTCAGAAAGGTTACAGAAGGAGGGCTGCCAATTCACACCTGGTAAGTGGGTGCAAATTCACTAGCTTCAGTGGAATTGTATGTAGATAAAAAGAAAAAGTCTGTGGATAAACTTGTGCAAGAGAACACATGGTGGAGTCTCCATCACTGACAATTTTTCAATCAAGATTGGATCTTTTGCTTAAAAAAAAAAATATATATATATGCTCTAAGAATTATTTTGGGGAAGTTCTATAGCCTGTGTTATATAGGTCAGGCTAGATCAGGGATAGGCAACCTACGGCACGTGTGCCGAAGGCGGCACACAAGCTGATTTTCAGTGGCACTCACACTGCCCGGGTCCTGGCCACTGGTCCGGGGGGGCTCTGCATTTTAATTTAATTTTAAATGAAGCGTCATAAACATTTTAAAAACCTTATTTACTTTACACACAACAATAGTTTAGTTATATGTTATAGACTTATAGAAAGACCTTCTAAAAACATTAAAATGTATTAGTGACACGCGAAACCTTAAATGGGAGTGAATAAATGAAGACTCGGCACACCACTTCTGAAAGGTTGCCGACCCCTGGGCTAGATGATCACAATGGTCCATTCTGACCTTGGGATCTATGAAAGACGCTTACCCATCAATAGTCTCTGGTAACGAGACAGGTGCAGCAGAGATGGAATAGATTCATAGATTTTAAGACCAGGGACCATTATGATCATCTAATATGACCTTGCATAACACAGGGAAATTCTCAAACAGCACTGGTATCTACAGGTTAAACAAGTCAGAATAGAACAGATATATTTTGGCAAAGCTTTTGTGGGTGGGTTCTAGATTTGGAGCAGCACAGGGAGTTAAAGATCAGACACATCAGCAGAGTTGGGGGAGCCTGGAACCCAATTAGCAGAGGAGAACAGTACACGGGACAAAATTGTGTAAGGAAAGATTGCACAGCACCTGCCTATAATATGTCTGACTGCCGCCTGGCATGGACTGCAATATAAAAGATTACAGAAGCTAGGAGTTTTGCACCAATCACAGTAAAATGGAGGCAGGAAGCATGGGCCGTAACTAACCCAGTCAGTGCAAGAAGCAAAACAGGCCACAAGGGCGCATCCAGAAGACAGACTGCAACTTAGTCCAAAGTTTCAAGTCTTCCAAAGGGTCCCCTCCCCACAAGATGCTCAGAATAAATCAAAAGACCTTTTCCCGCTCCCCTACCTCCCACAGGCTGGCCACACAGGTGTCCCAGTACGTATCCAGATATCACTGCCCCCCCAGGCACAGCCAATACAGCAAAGTTGTGAAGCTCTGATGGGACAAGCAGGGTCCATAGCCTCAGAACTGCAAAGGATACTTCCTGGCATTCTCCTCCACTGGCCCCTGACCAGACACCAGCATACACTTCTCATGGAACTGACGGAAGAGATGCAGGGGGCTGTGGGAGAGGATCACTTGCTCTGGAGACACCTGCAGGAGGAAAAAAGAGACCAGAGTCAGCAGGATGGAAGCTCTCCATTCCCCACACAGCACTCAGCTGTTACTCCCTGTGATGGGTTGGATCACAGAAACCTCCTTGGGAGCTGCCACCCGATGTGCAAAGACTACCCCTGCTTCTGTTTTCCCTGCCAGCTCAGGACTCCAGCACCCTGTCTTGCTGAGCCAGACACTCCCGTCTGGCTCCAGCCACAGATCCAGGGTCTGAATCACTTGTCCCAAAGCTGCAAGTTTACCTGAAAACAGCTCACAGTAGTGTGCTTGTCTTTAGCACTCAGATGCCCAACTCCCAATAGGGTCTAAACCCAGATAAATCCGTTTTACCCTGCATAAAGCTTATGCAGGGCAAACTCATAAATTGTTTGCCCTCTATAACACAGAGAGATATGCACAGCTGTTTGCTCCCCCAGGTATTAATACATACTCTGAGTAAATTACTAAATAAAAAGTGATTTTATTAAATACAGACAGTAGGATTTAAGTGGTTCCAAGTAGTAACAGACAGAACAAAGTAAGTCACCAAGCAAAATAAAATAAAATGCGCAAATCTATGCCTAATCAAACTGAATACAGATAATCTCACCCTCAGAGATGCTTCAGTAAGTTTTTTCTCAGACTGGGCACCTTCTAGGCCTGGGCACAATTCTTTCCCCTGGTACAGCTGTTGTTC